AAAAAAAAAAAGTATGTACACACACATATTGTTTGGACCAGAATGGGAAAAAGAACACCTGGGTGATTAGAAGTGGTCCTAGAAAGGAGGTAGCAGCTGTTCAGTAAAGAAATGCTAACGATAAAGGCCCTAGCTGGGTCATCAGAAGAAGTTAAGACTGCCTCAGTTAGTGTAATGGAGAGTAAACTGGACATGCATAAGCTTTGGAACTTCTCAAATTTCTTTTAAACAAAATAAATGCCAAAAATGAAAACATAAGATAAAGTGCAGTCAAATACGGTAAAGGTGCAGCTAGTCCTTTAACAGTGTTAACATCCATGATCTGAAAGAGGAGAATGAATGAAAAGTATGTTGTGAATAAGTTATGTATGATTATACAGGTCAACCACTTATGTTAGTGTTGAAACATTTATTATTGACAATCATTTCTAAAGCAGATGTTAGATTGTACTCAAATAACTGAAATCATTAAAGGCATCTATCTATTAATAACCTAGCTATAGTAAGGATATGCCAGCTTGGAGGGCTAAAAGCTAACTTACTTCAAAGAGTCCTTCAGGTATTTTGTAGTACACTTGTCCTCAGCTAACTTCAGGGAAGCTTAACTTCCCTAGCCAAAAAAAGGTGTAAATACTTAGTGCTCTGAAGTGAAAATAGGCAAGTATTGGAAGCCTATAACTGGACTCTATAAAACTATCAGGAAATTGAGATTCTTATAGTTTATCAGGATCATAGTAACACAGAATCATAGTTTGGGTTGGAAGGGACCTTTAAAGGTCACCTAGTCCAACTCCCCTGCAATAAGCAGGTACATCTACCACTAGATCAGGTTGCTCAGAGTCCTGTTGAACCTGACCTTGAACGTTTCCAGGGATGGGGCATCTACCACCCCTCTGGGCAGCCTGTGCCAGTGTTTCACCCTTATTGTAAAGAAATTTCTTCCTTATATCTAGTCTAAATCTGCCCTTTTTTAGTTTAAAACCATTACCCCCATCCTGTTGCAACAAGCCCTGCTAAAAAGTCTGTCCCCATCTTTCTTAAAAGCCCCCAGTACTTAAAGTACTGAAAGGCCACAATAAGGTTTCTGTGGAGCCTTCTTTTCTCCAAGCTGAACAGCCCCAACTCTCTCAGCCTTTCCTCAGAGAAGAGCTGTTCCAGCCCTCTGACCATTTTTGTGGCCCTGCTCTGGACCTGCTTCAACAGGTCCATGTCTTTCCTGTGCTGAAGGCTCCAGAGCTGGATGCAGGACTGTAGGTGAGGTCTCACCAGAGCGGAGCAGAGGTGCGGAATCCCCTCCCTCGACCTGCTGGCCACACTTCCCTTGATGCAGCCCAGGGTATGGTTCGCCTTCTGAGCTGTGAGCATACATTGCTGGGTCATGTTGAGCTTCTCATCAACCAGCACCCCCAAGTCCTTCTCCTCAGGGCTGCTCTCAATCTCTTCATCCCCCAGCCTGTATTGATACCAGGGGTTCCCCCAACCCATTTGCAGGACCTTGCACTTGGCCTTGTTGAACCTCATTAGGTTCGCACGGGGCCATCTCTCGAGCTTGTCCAGGTCCCTCTGGATGGCATCCTGACTGTCAGGCGTGTTGACTGTACCACTCAGCTTGGTGGAGTTAGCGAACTTGCTGAGGGTGCACTCGATCCCACTGTCTATGGCATTGATGAGGATATTAAATAGTACTGGTCCCAATACGGACCCCTGAGGGATACCACTTGTCACTGGTCTCCATCTGGACATTGAGCAGTTGACCAGTACCCTCTGCGTGCAACCATCCAACCAGTTCCTTATCCACCAACCAGTTCCTTATCCACCAAACAGTCCACCCATCAAATCCTTATCTCTCTCCATTTCAGAGAGAAAGATGTTGTGTGGGACCATGTCAAAGGCTTTACAGAAGTCCAGATAGCTGACATCCATAGCTCTTCTCTTGTCCATGGATGTAGTCACTCCATCACAGAAGGCTGCTAGGTTGGTCAGGCAGGACTTGCCCTTAGTGAAGCTGTGCTGGCTGTCTTGAATCACCTCCCTGTCCTCCAGGTGCCTTAGCATGGCTTCTAGGAGGATCTGTTCCATGATCTTCCCAGGCACTGAGGTGGGGCTGACAGGTCGGTAGTTCCCAGTGTCCTCCTTTCTATCCTTTTTAAAAATGGGTGCAGTGGTTCCCTTTTTCCGGTCACCAGGGACTTCACCTGAATGCCAGGACTTTTCAGATATCACGGAGAGTGGCTTGGCAATGACATCAGCCAATTCCCTCAGGAGTCTGGGATGCATCTCGTCAGCTCCCATAGATTTATGTATGTTCACCTTCCTCAGGTGGTCACAAACTTGATCTTCTCTTACAGTGGTTGGGATTTCGCTACCCCAGTCCCCATCTTGTGGTCCATCCACTCGAGGTGTGGGAAGAGAGGTTGCCAGTTAAAGCTGAGGCAAAAAAGTTGTTGCGTACCTCAGCCTTCTCCTTGTCTGTTGTTACCAGTTTGCCAGTCTCGCTCATCAGCGGGGTATGCTTTCTTTGGTCTTCCTCTCCTGGCTGACAGACCTGTAGAAGCCCTCTAGAAGACATCTTAGTCACTAACTGGATTAAGTTAAAATATGACTTCTATCAAATTTTATAAAAATATAACTTCCAATCTTAATTTAAAATATTTTTTTGTTCAGAAGAATGTAACTGGAAACTTGACAAAGACTCTCAACCTGTCAGGAGAGAACAGCCTGAGCAGAGTCCCACTCCCAGGAGCCCACTGTTAGCATCTCATTCAGGACGGTCTCTTTATCAAGACATTAACGATGTTTTTTTTTAATGGAGAATAATTAAATGGCTTCTGCCTGAATAATGTTAGCTATTGTGTACTGGTACAGTTTCTAATTAGCCTAGGGAGGCTGTAACTCCCTTGATAACTTTTTGGGCTTTCGATGAAACCAGTGCCTCCTTGGGGTAGGGAGCTCAGTCGGTCCAGCCCTGAACGCAGCTCCTCTAGTTGTTACCATACTGCAGGGTTTTTACAGTAGCTGTGAAAGCTGTTGCAGCTGGTTATGAAATCAAACACACCTCTCAAAAAAGGGCATGTTTCTAATAAACCGTGGCTTGTTTCAGTTTTATTCCCCTATTACTTCCCTGTATCTGCTGCTTCCTGGCCAAGGAACCATGCGCTGGTTTGGTGCCAAGACCACGCCGCCTTTTGCCTCGGCTCCGCAGCCTCCCGCGTGCTGCGGCAGGCCCAGGTCACAGAAACCACGCAGGAAAAGGATCCTGCAGCGGTGGCGGCTCCTGTGACCGAGTGCTTTTTGTTTACTAACCGCGCTCCCTCTGTACCGGGGTGTATCTGGGGGCTCTCCGAGGATCTGTTACCCCGGAATCCGAACCTCTCTCTCTCGGGTTAGATACAAGGAGGGAATTCTCCTCTGTCTGAGGGTGGTGATGCCGTGGCACAAGCTGCGCAGAGGAGCTGTGGC